CCGAATATATACTCATTGGTACTCATTGCATGCTCAGCTTCCTCTTATGCTTTGGGCATAATCATTGTGTAGTTCTTGGAACGGGAAAATATTTCAGTGGTTTATCCCACTGCTTGCTTGTGTACGTGCGTTTGGTGCTTGCGAGTCAAGCTCGATTACCTTAGTACTACCTTATTGTCCTTACAAAGTTTAGGGCCGAACCAGGGAACACAATTTCCATTCTTGAAAATCGTCGTTAGTACGTTTGTCAGTGTGCAGCGGAAGTGCGTCCCACCTAAGCGGAACATACTCCACATATTTGGTCTCCCCGACCGTGCCAAAAGGCGGAAGGTGGGCACGGGTTCATAGCTCGCGCGCTGCTGGCGTTGCCATGCCTCTTACCAGCAAGCACCGTTCCATCCCGAGGCAAATATGCATACGGATGCCATATGGACGGTGCATCGGTTGTACATGTTGCTACATATACGTGGAAGATGCAGCCCGGGAGAATAACATTAAAAGTAATTCTTCGTATGACCCTTTAAGTCCTGAAAAAGCATAATTATCAGCCACATAATTCATGTACTCTGAAGAGAGGTCAAAATCTGAAGTTGTGTCACTTGCGCCGTTTTTAGACAAATTTACATCTTCGTTGAAGATTATATTAATATTGCTTACAAAAGCTGTTTCTAAAATTTGACCCACATTCATCCTTGATGGCAGCTTTTTCAATTAGTTTTTTATATTTTTAAGTATCCCGGGAATCAGAATTAAAAATGTACCTCTAAACGATATACTTTCATGTTTTCCAGGCAAAAAACTATTAAAATACCTCTTTTTGTGTTGTTTTGGCAAGTAAAAAGCTTATCTTGAGGGAATAGTTGGTAAAATCGCCGCGTAAGTTGGGAGCTATTTTAACTATTTGTATTTGTTGCAACAACATATATATATATATATATATACGTATATAAAGTATATATATACGTATATAAAGTTTACTATGATTTACTTGAATTAAGGCGGGAAAGAAAAATAGATAATATTGTTATCATTCGCTTTGAGCAATTATTTCCATTTATAGAAGAAGATGTCGTAAAAACTATGAAAAAATATCAGGCCGCTTCAAAATTTGTCTGGTGTCCGGAAGAACCACGGAACATGGGCGCATGGAAGTTTGCACGCCATCAGTTAGATTCGTGCTTGAAAAAAGCAAGGAATTAAAGCGGAATTTTTTAGTAATTGATTGT